TAATAACCAGTACACAGCTTACATGGAGATGCACAGCTGGTTATAATCATTGCAGAAACTATTGAGACATTCTTCCATTCTGAGAATGTTTAGGTCTTCAGATTTCTTCCAAGGTACCAAAGTCCTAATCATAGAAAGTTTTGGGTTGGAAAGGACCAAAAGGTCACCTCATTCCAGCCCCCTGCCATGAAACATCTTCCACTATCCCAGGTGGCTCAGAGCTCCATCCGACCTGGCCTTGAACACTCCCAGGAATGGGGCAGCCACAGCTGCTCTGGGCAATAGTTTCAATAGTTTTCTGCAAATCACTTCAGATGGAGACATCATTTTGGGTGAATCAGAGCTGAACACAGATCAGTAAGAGCAGGATGTATGACAACACTCAGTGGCAGCTAACAAGCCAGGTCCTTCCAAACAGCAAGACAAAGCTGTAAGTGTAGGGAGCAGCAGCATCTGAGTGAGTTTTAGCTGGTAGAGATTTAAAAAACTCAGAAAAAAGATTTAGCAACCAAGATAAAGATTTTCAGGAATGAATCAATGCTGCTGCCATCTGCAAATCCCCGTCAGCACATCCGCAGTACCTGGACCAGCTCACTCTAGGTGTGTTTGCATATCTTTGAAACAACACACCTTCCCTTCTGTGTCTGCAGACCCATCCTTTGATCTGCTGCAACGTGAATATAAAACAGCAGCAATCCTTACAAAGGAATGATAATAGCTCACTGCTTTGATACCTATGGCAACATGACTAAAAACAAGCAATTCAAAGAAACAAGTAATTCAGTTTAAAGTTATGAAGTTATGAGCTTTTTTTTTCCTGTGGTCTTTAACATATCTGCAAAGCTCTTTCATCCAATTTTGTAAAGAAGTGTAAGTAGCCATTCTGAATTGATTATTACAACTTCAGGATGAGTGACACTTGACTGAAAGAGTAAAAGGATGTCAATCTCCTTTGTTTTTCAAAGGAAGAGGAAAATATTCTTTTCCCTGCATGCTCTTCTATGCAAAAAAAAGTTACAGACTGTGGTTTTGCCCATGGTCTTGGACTCCATTCTCCTTCCACAATGACTAACTAATACATAGAAACACTTAATCTGGTAAAATTCTTCAGCAATCTGGACAATACAAGCCGAACAAAAAGCACTATTTTACTAAAATAAAGTCACTTTTTCCCACAGAATGTCTGCAAGTCCATTTCACATGTAATCTAAAATTTCCCAATGCCCAGAAGTTACCAAATACGATATGGTTCTTATTTACTGCAGCAATTCAATACATTCACTGATGCAGGCATTCACTCTTTTTTTTTCCTTTTTCTTTCTAAATTTATGTTTGAATCTCAGCAACTCATCTTGTGCCATAAAATGTTTATGGTTTCAACTTATATGGAGAATCCAGAAGCCTTCAGAGATCGAAGGGCCATTCTCACTGTCAAAACTGGAAGTTTCACAATGATAACTTCATTTTCATTACAGCTTCACAAAGGATATAGAAATACACAACTCCTTCAGCTGCCAACAGTCTCACAGACTAAAAACATGCAACCCCAACCAGTAAGTTTCTGCTGACCACAGAACACACAACTAGGTTTTGTCAAATGCTTTTAGGACTGTACAGTTACTTATGCATTTTTAAGGCTGTAATTAAATTGCCAAAAAACTACATGACAAAATGCAGCTTGTCTGCATAAAAAGTTAAAAAAAACCCACTAACTCACCTTTATCTTCTTTCAGTACAGCAGATAAAAGTGTATTTTAAGTCATTATTTCCTCTTTAGGCTTCCCCCTCTACGTGCAGGGAGGGGTTTTAGTTTCCATTCTAACCTGAGATGAACCACTTGGCCTAGAAAGCTCATTCAGTGCTTCAAAACTACCCCACTTCAAAATCCAAGATTTACTCCACAACTTTGATGCTCCAAGTGAGCCAGGATCAAAAGTTCTGCACAGACTGCCTCAGCGAGAATATTGGCTCCTACAGATCCACACCCTTCTGCTACAAGGTCTCTAAGCCAGTAAAAGTTAAATATCCCTGAAGGGAAGGGACGTATAAAAATAAATAAAAATAATTTCTATATAAAGTACATATTTAGAAGACTTTGAGTCCATCCTAAGCAATATTTTTAAATTGTTTTTGTGTCCATAAGACATGCTTAGAATTACTCTGCTCTACGAATATATTTATTAAAAAAATTTTTAAAAATCAAACAAAAAAACCCAAACAATAAAAGATACAAGACAGAAAATTGGCATTTTAAGGTTTACTTCTGCAAGATGTATTCTGACCACACCAGGGTCCTACCAAGCACATTGGCCCAGCTGAACTGGCAGGTTCCAGCTAGCACCCATCCAGCTGTTGTTTCCCAGTAAACATGAGTAACTACACCAGCATTGTCTCATTAACAAAAGAAAAAATTAAGACAGTGTCACCAAATATGCTGAAACAGTGAGTTAATGAGTTTCACACTGGAAATCACCTAAAAATAATTAGCTGTTTACCAGAATCCTGTGAAATTTCCAGTAGATAATATTCAAATTTAAGTTGTCAGGAAAAAAACCTATCAGCCTATCTATAAACAGATATGAGTACACACCATGTACCAATTCAAGGTCTGCACTTGCCTTTTCTTCTGCATGGGGAAAGCGTGAGAAAGGGTCCCAGTTTTAGTCTCTGAAGTACATTCACAGCAGTAACCACACGGTTCAAGTGTCTGTGCTCCTTCCTCACTGCTGCTGTTTGAACTCAGGATATTGTTGTGCTTTGCATTTAGACGTATTCCTCAGATTTTAAAGTGCCGTGTTTTCAAAATTCAGAAAAAATAAAGCTTCTAGCAGTAACAACGAACAGAGCAGGAGAAAACTGCAGAATATCAGAACGATTTGATTTCAAGAACAGTTTGTTCCAATCTCCTGCCACAAGCAGGGACACCTTCAACTATCCCAGGCTGTTCCAAGCCGTCTAACCTGGCCTTGGGCACTCCCAGGGATCCAGGAGCAACCACAGTTTCTCTGGGCAACCTGTGTCAGGGCCTCTCCACCCTCACAGGGAAAATATTCTTCCTTTCCTGGTGTTAAATTAAGCTTTATCATTTGTAAACCTCCAAGAATTTTGAAAAATTAGGTAAGTTGGCATCTATTTTTTTTATGCTTAACAATAACACGTGGGTGTCAAAGCCTGCATGTGGAAATCAGTAACATTTATGGAGTCACTTAACTGCACACTGAAGTGTGAAATGAGTCACAGACAGGTTGTGTTTACCTATCCAGGTTACACTGGAATAATGAGACATTGGAAGTTGGTTACCTCCAAGGGCAGCACTGGTGGTGTCCACCTGATCTCCACTCACTTCAATAAACACCCATTTGCCCTCAGGCTTGTGATTGTTTTGCCTGTACTCAGGGTATTTCAGCGTCTGTGCCTCCCCTGTGCTCCACACCAGATGAAATTTTGCATAGTTAAAGTATTCTAGAAAAAAATACCAAAGTAATTTTCAGCTCCATTTTCAAAGTAGATAAAAATTTCATGGAGTTGCAATGAACTTGGACACCTTAATGTTTGAATCATTTCTGACAATGGCAGTTCAAAGACTCAAAGTTTTGAAAACCTTATCCTATATAATGCAAATCATAGATGGCTGCACATTAGGAGGAATTCAAAACATACTATTTTTACAGTTTATGGCAAAAAATAATACAAAAATTTTAAAAAAATACACATGTAATATTTGTGAACTGCATTTCTTTTTTTCTCTCATCACATCAAGCTCTTTCACTTGGGAGACAAAGACACTGTTCTCCCCACATGAGGCTGTTTGTCCCCAGCTCAGGACAGGGGTGTCCTACCTGTCCCCTTCCACCTGCTGACACACACCAGAACACAACACTTCTTTATGGTTACGTGACTTCCATCTCTGCCCAATTCATTACACTGCTTCTGTGCAAGAAGCAGCTTTAGAGGCATCACAGCTCTGGCAAAATCCCCTGGTGAGAAAGCACTGTGGTGGTTGTAAGCAATTTGAGAAAGAAGGAAGGACCTGAAGTTTGTTGCTTGTTCCTGTATCTCAAACTTAATTAAATTTGAAACATGGCAGAAATTAGGACACAAACAAATAATTAAAACATTAATCATAAATGAATTCACAGCTTAAAAATACAGAGTCCTTGGCACGGATCTCATGTGAGTAGCTGAAAGTCTGTTACTTCCTGTAGCACCTACTCTTCTGGTAAATTCAGTACAGGTTGCCTGATGAATTCAGAAGTTACTGGAAAAGAAAGGGGAGAAGAGAAGGAATGGCACTGACATATCCTATGTCACACCAGCTTGTTTCCTTAAACAGTCCAGGCTTAGAGCAGATTTAGAGGCAGAGAAGTTATGTTGAAGTGTCATTTTAAACTCGAAGATACAATCAAATTTATTAATTCTCAGTGTGAGGGAAACTATTTTCCCAAACTATAAATACAATTTCATTTCACTGCTGACTACCATTAGTTTAAGCATACGTTGATTTTTTGGGGGGAAGGCAGTGGGGTGGTAAATAAATACATATCTGAATGACCAAATACTTTTGGTCACCTCTTCCTATTTTGCTGTAGGTCCCAGCTGTATGTCACTCTTTTACAGCCACATTAAGCCAGTCTACTTGAAGTATAGGTGTAGCCTAATTGTTAACAGACATACTTCATTTGTGATCTTAACACATCCCCTTCTCTGTTGCAACCACATGAATCCAGGCTTTGATTGACAAGAAGAAAAGGAGAAATCAAACATGTTGCTAATTGTGTCTTGAAAGAAGGATTCCTTTGATTCCCAAAACCTGTAACCTTGTCAGACTTACCATGTACTGGAAGTACAATGTGAACCATGCCATCATTTCAGGGTAAGCAAATAAAAAAATCATTAGTACACATCTAATAACACCAAGAATTCCAAACCCATCAAGCCTCTCAAACAGGAATTGTCTCCCCTTTTCATCTAACAAACATATTTATCAGAAGCATTATTACCTGCATTAAAAGCTGGGAGCAGTAAAATACCAGGTGGTGCTGCTTCACAGGTCTTCACCAAAGCAGTTTGGGAATCTTAGCTATGGATCTCAGTGGTCAGCAGTACTTCTTCCAATCCACCCTCTCTGCTTCAGTCCAATGGATAAATTTCAAAGTGCAATTTTCCTGAGTGTAGTAGCATTCTTCAATCTAAATAGAGTCGGGGGGAGAAAAGAGAATTTGAGATCATCTGGTATAACTTTCCAAATGTTTTAGGCTAAGAAGAGGCTAAACATTGCCCAGAGAGGTTGTGGTCTCCCCATCCCTGGAAGTGCTCAAGACCAGCCCTGGATGGGCCTTGGAGCAACCTGGTCTAGTGAAAGGTGTCCCTACTCACGGCAGGGGGTTGGAATTGGATCATCTTTAAGGTCTCTTCCAACCCAAGCCATTCTCTGATTGTGTGAAGAAGCTCCATCCAAACACTGCCCAATACTACACCATATAAATATTTATCCCAAATACCTTCCTTGGTCTAATAAAGTCTGTGAAGACAGACCACACCTGAGATAAAGGCAAGCAGCAGGAGATCCCACAATCATGGAGCTCGAGAGAGTGACCAAGAGGTCCAAACCCTCTGCCCCAAACCAGAGAACAGGAGGGTCCCCCCAAGACCACCTCCAGTTCTGAGTATCTCCATAGATGGAGCCTCTGAGGGCAATTTGTTCCAGTGTCTGGACACTCACAGCAAAAAAAAAAACTTCTCATTTTAATAGTATTTCCTCTATTTCAGTTTGTGCCCCTGAGCCACTCATCTCAAGGCTGAGTTGTCCCAGCTCTCTCTGCCTCCCCTCATATTCTCACAGTGGGGTTTCCCAACCTGTCCTCTGTCCCAACTACAGGTTTCCTGTATTTTGATGACTGAACTATGTGACTAAGTGCAGATGCATTGTTTGCATCATCTGAAAAATAAAGCAGCAAAATTAAATCACCAATTGCTGAAATTGCTGATTAAGTGGGCCATGAATACATCAGGGAACCACATGGCAGAGGCCTTTCTCATCTCGTTTAAAAGTTACACTTTAAGCAACAGGACATTTTAAATCTTTTCTGCCTCAAGTACATAGACAACCTAAGTTTTTATATCAAAATACTGAATTGCAAAGATCTAATGCTTCAAAAGAAATTAGTTAAACATAGCAATAAAGGCCAGACACACAATCCAAAAAAAAGAAAAAAAAAAAATCAGCTTTGTCTCACAAATCCTTCTATCACAAAACCATAGTGGCCAGCATTTATTTTTATTTTTAGCTTTTAAGCTTTCACTGATGGAAGTCCAAGTTAACCTTTACTTTATTTTGTCCTGGGCTAAATCCACTGTGACATCCTTTTTGCCCTTTTAAATACAGAAATTTCTTGGAAGGCTTCCAGTACTTTGAAATAAACACATTTACAAGATATGCAACAATTAACATGAGTGGCTCTAGAGGCTCCTGAGACAGCTCTGAAGTCCCTATGATGTGATGTCCAGATATGTTTATATAACTTTTTTTATTTAATAGTTAATTTCAGAAATCACTCCTTTACCATCTTTAGCAAAGTGGGTGTGAACTTTCTACTCCAAACAAAAAATGATATGGGAAAGGAGAGCAAATATGAAAAAAGCAAAATAGCATTAAAAAGGCAAAAAAAAATGCATTAAACCAGTACAAGTTTATGCTTAATGATGTCTAAAGAGCAAGCTGACTTTGAGGCACACTGGAAATCACCATTTCACCCTGAAGCTGGTTGTGCTGGAGCCAGGGGACAACTGCACACAATGATCAGAAGATTGTGATGTTTATGCACCTACAAGCTGACATCTGACGACTGCTCAATCACAAGTCTCACTGCATGTTTCTACTTATTTCTCAAAATTACAAGGCTTATTACAATTTTACTTCAATTTTCACAGAAGTTGAGATTCTCAACAGCAGCAAGTTTGTGAGAGTTTCCAGTCCAAGCTCCCAAAGAGCTAAAGCAGATACAGATGAGAGGATATTTTTCAAAACAAATACAAACTGGCAAAGTCTGAGGTCCTTTACTGTTGGATACTATGGGAACAAGTTAAAACAGCTCCTCAAGCACCTGCAATTACATTCAAAAGTTTCTGGAAGTCAGAAAAGCTCATAAAAACAATGAAGTGCCACCAGAGAGTTTGAACCCTAAGAAAGAAGTTTAGCAATTAAGTTATAAATTAGATTTTTTTAAAATCATCTTGTTCAATGCATAATTAAGTCAGGAATGATTCAAAAACTTTCATCCTACCTGAAAACAAGGGATGAACAATTCTAAGGATCCTTTCCAGATAATATTATATATTAATTACATTATTGCAACTACCATATGGAATGGAAACAAATACATGAAAAGATGCTGCCACATCACCTCTGTGAAGCAGCACAGAGGTCCCAGACTCTTTGTTCCATGTTGAACCTCAATAAGGAATAAAAATCTTTAGAAGTAACTCTGACTAAAGTCCAAATTACAGCCCCAATTCCCTACACAGGCTCTTGTGCAAAGAGACATTGCTCAGCCCAGTGTTTTAAAACACACAGATCTGAAAAAATTATCTGAGAAGTAGTCAAATACTATTTTTCTTTAAGAGCTACACACAAACTGTGGCTCTTCAGCCAACTGGCAGAAACATTAAACCCCCAAACTTTTATCGTTTTTACAACACGTAGAAGTTATTTTTTTATATTTCATGACTTTAAGAAGCACAACTAAACAGAGCACTACTGTAATTTTCTAATTATATTTTCGCAAGTTTTTAATGTCATAATTTAAATTATGAACTCTTTATTTCAAGATGATTAATTAGAGTATGTTCCATTTGGGGAACAAGAGTTCAATATCCCACTACCAATTAAACAAAATGCACTCCCTTAGCTTAAGATTAAAAACCAAAATGCAGCCAAAAAGTTTCTTCCTTGTATCTGTCAGATCACAAAAGCATCCAATACAGCAGGATAAGACTGCCAGAAAACCCTAAGACTTTCAAAACTATATTATTTAGTGCAGTGGCTTAGCTCTGAAGCTGCACCAGAAATGACATCCAAGCTTTGGACAGTAAGCCTTTCTGCCAATGAATTTCTTGTAAAGTCAACAATTATAATTTATTCTGATCCTTTGTGTCATCATATTAGTAGTTATTTTTCTGCAATCCCAGAGCAGCAACAAATAATGCCATAGAAGAGGACTGATATAATTACAGGCTGAAAAAGATAGGCCAGCACCCTTACACTCAAAACTACCCTCTGTGGCTCCTTCATACCCCATATGTTGCTAATAAAACTGTTTGAATCATACCTAGGAGACAGTTTTACTGATATTGTATCAGGTCCCTGGGTTCTTTGTATGAGATACGATGTCACCAGCACTATAACTATGCAAATTCTGTGATACAGGATCCCACTGGACACAATATTACATAAGTAATTCGCAGTATGAAACTGGGCATTAACAATAATTCTAGTGTTATATAAATGAAACCACTATGTTTACTGAAAAGCTCACCACACAACAACAAAATCGAATTTAAAAAGCAATAAAGAGCAACTGACATGCTCATAGTAAAGATGGTAACATTGGTATTTTTTTCCCCAAACAATGTAAATTTTGCTTTCCGTGTGACAGTGCTTTACAGAAACCTTTGGCAGTGACACTGGGCAAATGCAACCCCATCAACAATATTAATAAATGACTTTAAACAGGAACCTACAGAGTCCAACTTTGATAAACAACCACGTGATATTCAGCAAGAATCACTGTAGTCACATACAAGTGGGATTCTCAGCTTCTGCATGGAGTAAATGATAATGATTAAGACTAAGAAAAGCAGCAGTAAGAAACCAACACACATCAGAAGAATCATCCTGTGGTCAGAAAACCCCTGTGCTCCAATCCTGCACCAGACTTCTGTGTGACCTCAGGCAAACAAGGCTCCACCTGGGCTGGCATCACCTGAAATAGGGTCCATCACCTTTTCCTGCTTAAGTCTATGGCCATGCTTTATGAACACTTGCAAAAAGGCAAGTCAGAGATCTTTAGGTCAGTGTTGGAAGAGACAGAAAAGTACAATGAAAAACCTGACAGCACAGGCAGCTTGGTGCACTTTCCCCTTATCCATGTTTCCAGTGATCTCTTCCCTCCACAATTAATTTATTGGTTTGCTGCTGGTGAGAAGTGCTAGAGCTTGTAAGGAGTCTTATTTTTGAAAGAACTCAGAAAAAAAAGTAACAGGCTGGCATGATAAAGTGAGTCTGGTAAAAAGCCAGACTGAGGAGATAAAAGGAAGCTATTTTGCCAAGGTACTGTGAGAATTAATAAATCAGATCATTTTATAAGGTAAATTGTACAGTAAATTTGTATTGTAAATTGTCAAATACATATGGGAAAAGCCACAGCTCAGTATTCGCTGGTAATATTTTTAATGGCTTCAAACACAGCTACAAAACAAATGATACACAGCACAAGCAGCTAAGGAGACTCAGTCTGAGAAGGACCAACTTTAAGTAAGTGATGGAAAAAAAAGAGTAACCAGGCACTTGGAAACAAAGATGAAGAATTGATTGATTTCTGTCACTTGTGTGCTTCCACTACAGTAGCAGCTTAAGCAGTAACTTCTCAAGTTTTCCACCAGTCTCTGTGCAATACAAAAGCCATAACAGTTTTATTCTGTTTAAAAATCAATAAATAGCAGCTTAGGTGACATCTGACAAGGCAGAAAGCTCACACTTCTTCCCATCAACATTCTGCCCTCTGGTATTGCTGCTACATTTTATCATCATGCAGTTCAGAGAGAATTATATACCTATTTCCAAAGTTTGAAAAAAAAAACAACCCCCTCCTTCCCAAATATGGCCCAAAGCTGTTATGAAGCAACTTATTTTTAGCAAAAGCACTTATGCAGATACTTAATTTTAATTAATAGTCTCACTGACTTCAACATTTGCACAGCAAGACAACTCCACGCTTCAATTAAAGCCTGCACAGAAATGCTGTGCTGATTCATGGCCAAAAGCATGACAGGAACATCATTATATAAAATGCTCATAAAATTTAAAGAAAAAATATAACAGGATCCTCACCTTTAAACAGAACATTAGACACCCTCTAAAACTCACAGCTTGAGCAGAACTTGCAGGTTGCTGAATATGTAAATGCTAGGG